TCAAAGTATTTAGATGGAAAGGCATCGCGAGACTTGAAGAAACACGGCCAGTTTATTCTTATTATTTACTGTCCAAGCCTTAGTGAAAACATTACGCAACCATTATCGTAATTCACTTCTTATAGAGAAGAATTTTGATTTAATATGACAATAGCGAGACTGTGTTCCAGCTGAGTTATAGCCTTGGTCCTGCTGGGAGAACTATCAAAAGTACAAATTTATCATCCGTGCTTTTTTATTGATGTTTTTCTCTGTATTTTTAGCTGTTTAGACACAAGGGGAAGAGAAGCTGTTAAATTCATATACAAACAAATCGTATCACGCATTATTTGAATATACATATTAATTACAACACTGTCGTTTTCTTCGCTCTCTAGCGGCGCGGTAACAAAAAAGACTTTGCATGAAAGAAGAGATTTGGAAGGGAAAAAAGAGATTGATTATGCTTGMCACATAAGTGTTTTTGTACAACATTTCGAGGGTTTATTTTCTATATCCACAAATTAAAAAATGTATTTAGTATAGTATATATGTGTATGTATTTTTATACTTTTTCGAACGAGCGAATGAGTTTCAAACGGGGTTGTTAATTAGTGGACGAAGCAAGGAACAGATACTATCAATGATAACAATCATAATAGTAATAACATAGCATTTCTGAATTTAAAAGGTGATTCTACTGCATAAAGAAATCGCTTGATCGTTTGCCTGAAAGACTAACAGACCTTTATTTTTGTTATTCTTATTTCAAAATAATTAAAACAATAAGAACCCCTAAGGCGAAAAATACGAAAACATAAACTACTAACTAAACTAAAACTTTCCCTATAAACTCARRAAAACTRACGAAGTTAATATAAATTGCGCCTTCCTTTTAATGGTAATTTGGTAATTTTTGAAAAAAATGTATAACTTTTTATTTTGAAATTGTTACTAGAATAGTAAATGCGTTGTTATTTAGGAACGATACAAGAGACTATTAAAGATGAAAGCCCAAAGGCCAAATCCTATGTAGAGTCCCCTTTTAGTTTACCTGAAAAACGTTTTTTGTTTTTCATTCAAATATCAACAGTATTTACAATAATTCAGCATTCGTTCAACCACAATGATATTCTTGCATTTCCGATTTTTATTATTTTGAAGCTTAAAAACATCAACAAAAAAAGAGATCTCACTAATACAGTACATAGAATGACGAGGAAGTAGAATTTCTCGAGTGGCATTAACGGTTCGCACAGCATGTCAAGTTATTTTTCAAAGGTGGACATTTAAGGCGGGATACCGATCACTTGTATGTTGTAAATGTGCCATTCTACATAATTGATCACTGTAAGAGTACGACGTGTGTGTTTACTTCATTGTGTGCAAACAAAGAGCGCTTCTTTGTAGCGATAACCTGTAGAAAAAAAAGCCCGCCAAAAATGGCAGGTTTGTCGATGGTCAAAACGCGCGCGCGCACAATGCCAGAGATTTGTGTTCAAAGGTGACTTGARATTTCCGATAGTTTCACAAAGTAAAATGTCTCTTTGTCAACACTGTTGACTAGCTAGTTTTCTAAGTTAAAATAAAGGATTTGTGCAAATAAATTTGGCAATTAATACTTGCTTATTACAAAGWCTAATCTAGATCACCTGTCGCTGACGAAAAGTAGCCCCGGGAAAAGMTCCTTTAAAATCTAATCCGTGCTCAAGATTTCCTCAAAAAGTGTAACCAAAAGTCCACAGGCGCCCCTTCGCTGCTGTTTGGCCTTTTTATGCCACACAGCAGGRCATTTTGACTTCAATAACTTATGYGGCGGGCTCCCTGTGGGGACTATTGTTTTCAACACATGTCAGCCCTTAAGAGAACAAAGGCCTACAATGGAGTTGTAAATCTTTTTCTTTCTCTCTGGTTCGAAGTTGACAGCGCATTACAACAGCTGACTAAGTCGCTAATTCCGGCTTTCCTCGATCTTACGAGCTATTTGTTTTACACTTTGGTCGAGCAGRGTGGCTGGACTTGTACTCAATGTGCCATTAAATTTAAAACAAACTCATTTAAAGGCCTAATTTATGTTATGTTTTGGTGGGCGAATGTTTTTGTTCAAAGCCCTCATGTGCTCGTTAAATTCCTTTTGGTTGAAACTTTGCTGAGATTTTATGCTTGAGGCTAACTTCAGCACACAAAGAACTGCACATTTCGTGGTTGGCGGTTTTCGGGAGACGTCTTTAACGAGTTCAAAATGACATTTATTGAACACCCTTTGAACTAAAATGTCTAAATATAGTTTTCTCTAAGCTCCAATCTATCTTAGCCTTTGAAGGAAAACTTCCAAGGTARCACGTTCGATTCCAGAGACTTATTTCTGGCCCTTGATTTAATCTGACCCTTGTAAAGTTCTTTGAGAAAAGAAAAGAAACTTTGGAGGGCCAATAATGCTCAAAAACCTTCAACCATGTGTGTCTTCTATGACTTACTGGTGCGAAAAGGACACCTTAATAGGTCTGCGTTGATTCAGGAAAAAAGTTCTTTCTTTTTCAAGATGACAAGATTTTTCGGATTTTCGTGTTTTTTCATGACCTTTCCACAATACACTCTGCTGTGTTTGTGATAACATCACTTGTTTTATCTCGAAACACATAAATAACTAAATAAATCTAATCTAAAATGTAAATGTCCTTAGATTGAATGAGCTACACACGTTCTTTATGTACGAGTTTTTCTTTACAAGCCCAATTTGCATACATTGATCAAAAACAATTGTGTATAGGGGGCTTTGGCCGGTCGATTGTATCAAGGTTTTGGCAAACGCGTTGTATCGTTCCCAAAATAATTCCCCAAATCCATTATTTCTTCCACTGGAAGTCTTTCTTGCAATAAGATCCTGAGTTTATCGTTATTAGGAGTTTGTTTGTGAGTAGGTTGACTGCCAACGCGACATTAAGACGCCATTGAACCCAATCAGATGCCGTCTTCTTGCTCAGCTGTCCGTCGTAAATAATATATTACATTGCAATTTTCAGGTCTGCCAATTCGAGACCAGAATTTGTATTATTTATCTCAGGTTTTCAGTCAATCTGTTTAGGGAATTTTTGTGCAAAATCGTACATCAACGTACACAAAAAGTACCAAAAAGATTAAATGTTCACGGAAAAAAATATATTAAGGCAGTTGTGGAGGTTTCGGTTCGGTTGTAACCTTGGAACCAAATGAAAAACAGCTCCTTACTTTAACTATGAGAGCTCACGATGAAAAAAACCGTTTGCTTTTTGTGCTTTGAAAAAMTTGAGAGTTCAAAAATCGCTTCTTGGTGTGTATGGCATCTCTATGGTAACCATCTATTCCAATTTGAGTTCATTTTGTCCTCCAAAAAATTATGTGATGTTCAATTTCATTTGCCGCTACGAGAAAAACAAAACATACTTAATAATTTTCATGACGAATTTTAATTCTTGAACAAGAATAAGATTTATTCCGAGTTKTAAGGATGAACGCTTGCTTTGAATTTCACGGTCAAGATTGCATGCGATTATCAAGGATAAGTGTTCGATACTGTGGTCCTGTCGCGCTATATTACTAGACTCTATTGAAAATCTTTATCAGCAATTCAGATAACTTAACAAACCCTTTGAAGTGATTGTTCTGTACTTTTGATGACCAGATAATACTTATAAGTCATTTTTCAACTACGGACCAATGGTTTCTGATCTGATCGGAATTATGTGCTATTATGGTATATTGGCTATTGTTAAACAAACTCGTTTTGGCTCTTAGATTCCTTCCTCTATAATTCTCAAAGCACTTTCTCGTGCTCTAAGCATCTAAATCATGACATTAACAGCTGTAATCATAAGTATAGACATCATGAGTTATTGGAATATGGTATCACTGAATCGCCCACTGTGATATCGCCAAAACTATCATTTTGGGCAGTCTTTTGAGGTCACGGTTACGTTGTTTTGAGTCCGCCAATTAGCTGATCTATAGCTCACGCTGCTTTGACTGATATTCTCTTTTATATTGAACGAATAGCTGCTAAGTAGTCGAAGAAAAACTTTAGGATTAAAAGATTAGAAAAAAACGTTTGACTACTTCTAGTTAGTTGGTTGTGTCAAGGGAACTAGGCTATTAATAAACGACCGAGTTGGGATTGGGTCCAAGTAGTTGATAATGAGATCATCGCGTTATTAATAGTGACAGAACCAATTATGAGGGAAATTACTTTGGTCATGTGTACAATGGTCTCTCGCCTTTCTTACACGATCAACAGATATTAGTTGACAGCCTTGAATGGTTTTTTAAATCCCGAACTTCAGTTGAGAAAACAAAGGGCTTTCTTTCCTTTGTTAGGGTCATAAATGCTTTGAATATTTGCTTTGTTCCGATGTTGAAAAGAACTCAAATATAAGTAAATATTTTTCATTCCTCATTGTGTCAATAGCAGGACAGCCGCGTTCGCTTTCCAGTCTACCTTGAAAGACTCTGGGGTTAAAGACCAGTTTTTTTATGGACGAGCAGTGTTCCTAATCCGTTTAGATATATATGGTGGCTGGGCGGAGTCGCTAACATGGACGTGTGAAATTTCATTTAGCTGGTCGTTATGAATTTGACTAATTAGGGATTCGGTGTTGTTCGAGCAGGGGCTTAGGGCAACCTCGTAAAGCCATCTTATTGTTGTCTTTAGGATTTAACTGTCGTCTTATCGGAATGGTACCAATGTCAAAAAAAAGAGCCATCGTCTTACTGAGTGATGTGAAAAATGACACTGCCAAGAAATCGTAGACTTGGTTGTTTTTGATTCTAACCCCTCAGGGCAACCTGTGGGCGCAAGGAAATCTCTATACCTTGCTCAATTTATCTGTGTGTGTTGGATTGAATTTGTTAGGCTGTTTTGAATTAGCAGCTTTTCTGTGATTCATCTGAATTGTCGTCAAGAGTAATTCATTTTTTTTATTTTTGCCACGTGGACTTTAGATGGACAATTCTCGAATAATTGACCGTCATTGTCCATCGAATGGTCTTGACAGTATACGTTTACACGCTGACATCGTTATGTCTTGGTAGAGTGTATTGCGCGCTGAAGCGGTTAAGCGTCGGCTGTGCAATCGACAGCGTTGAGATCGATACAAGTACTAGTAGTTGCCATTGTGGCGTATCRCTTGCTCGCTGAAAACTATCTAATCGGTGCGACAAAATCCTCCCCTCCCYRGCACCCTCTCCGTTCTCATCCACCTGCAAGCCCCCTAATCTTCGAATCTAAGGAGTTTGACACTTAGTGAAAGGGCTACTATCCAATGACAATCGCCTCGTTTCACATAAGGCGCCAATTTGTGAAAACGTCGGTTTACCACTCAACCAATAACCACTCTCTCAGTGACACGCGGTCACGTGATTGCTCCTTTCAGCCAACCAACACTAATGTATTGTCCTCATGAGAGATCGGAATTTTGAAGTATTCGTTTCGTCAGCTGGTACACGCTTTCGTTGGAGATAACATACAACGAATAGCTATTATTACCGGCCCGCAAGATGAGCGATCAGACAGCTAAAAGTACGTGTGCGGGGATTGATATTCGGGCTCTCTTGAGTGTCGTAGTAAATAAAAATCACGAGCGCTTTGGCGGCAGCGTGGTTGAAATTTGTTGCGTTCACTCTGCGGGCAATTTCCTGTCACGCTCTCGTCTCATCAGTTTGTACTATTTTGCAGAGAAACGCCGAATATCTATGTGTGTTGGATGTGGCTCGCAGATCCACGACCAGTATATCTTACGCGTCGCTCCAGACCTAGAATGGCATGCTAGCTGTCTTAAATGTGCTGATTGCCACACGTATCTGGACGAGACATGTACATGCTTCGTACGCGATGGCAAGACCTACTGCAAGCGTGATTACGTTCGGTGAGTGTGTTAGCTTGTAAGAGCTCTTGTGCTCGCCGGGGGCTCCCTGTGTGTTTGATGATTAATTTGCTTGAAAGCCCGAGCTTTGTTCTTGGCCTTGGAGTGTAGTTTAGTCTCTGGAAACATACAGGAGTCTTGCATTGTTTTCCAAATTGAACTGACAACACAACAACAAGCGTCTCTTGACTTGTGTTCTTTACGGCGAACTTCCCGGCGTTTTGCTGCTCGTTCAGATGATTATAAGAGATTAGATGCTTCACACTAGATTAATACAAAGCTAATTACGGAAAAATTCACACCAAAGAGCAAAAGTTTGGACTCGAGAATTTCTCGTTCACACGTACATTTGTACGACTCCGCCTCCAGCTTATTGTGGCACTACGAGGCGGGAAAGTTTGCCATATTTTGAGGCAGGAGGCAAGGAATACATTCTCTGTTCGTGGTTTGTGAGCTGTTCTTTATAGGCACAAGCTGCGACGAGATAAGTGTTTGGTTTTGTGGAAGAATTGAGGGTTTTCTAAGCTGGCGTTTGGTGTGCAAATTGATTTTGGAGCTCTAGTGGCTCCGGGTCAGCTAGTACGAGTAGGGGAAATAGATCTATTTGCCAAGCTTGTTCTCAAAATCAGTGTATTTACATTCTGAAATCCTTTACATTCTTAAACAGATTGTTTGGGACCAAATGTGCGAAGTGTCTACAGAACTTCAGCAAGAATGATTTTGTTATGAGAGCGAGGAATAAAATTTATCATATTGACTGCTTTCGCTGTGTAGCGTGTAGTCGACAACTTATACCTGGGGATGAGTTTGCCTTACGTGAAGACGGACTATTCTGTAAAGAAGACCACGAAATTGTAGAGAAAGCAACGGCAACTGCGCAGGCGACTCAYGCTCGATCCAACAGCAATCCGCGGAGCACTCCGTCAGGGGGTAAGTTGTTTAGATCTGCTTCTATGCGGTAGGTCTCTTGTTCTTAGACTTATCAAGCCGTAATCAAATTGGGGTGGGATAACGCTATTAACACAACTTATATTCTCAGAACGTATCAAATGTTCATTAGAAAGCTGATTCTTAAAATCTAATCATGCTATTTTGAGCGGAATTAGGCCTGTTACCGCTTCCTCGGCGCTCGGGCTGACTGCGAAACAGCGGTGATTTGTCGATAAAATTATACATTGCTAGTAGTTGTTATAGATCGCGTAAGGGTCTCAGATCATTGATCAGGCTGATTTGAATCCTAAGGTATTGTAGGGACTACATTACGCAGGTTTATTTATGGCTCTTGTAAGCTTCAACACTCGTAAGTGTCYATGACACAAAAACGGTGTAATATCCTTAAAGCCGTGGGTTTACTTCGAATAGCAGATCTGTTATGAACGTATCGGTTTATAACCCCATATAGTAACCACGCGGGCCTATTATTATTGAACAAATTCGATACAACATCCGGCCTATAAAATCTTATTATTCTTACATATAATGTTGACACATACATGTTCTCTGGCTCTAGAGGCATCGATACAATGCATGTGACATGTTTGTGTAAATCAGAAAAAGGGTTTTTATCGAAAAATCCATAATTATTCGATGTTGTGCTTGCATGCGCTTCGATATGTTCGTCTCGAAAYTATCACTCGCTCACTCCAAACATACAAGTAATATTGTAATTCCTTTGAAGGACTTTTTAACCTCTCAAAGTTTTGTTCTTTCTTATGTTTTGATTCCAGGTCAAGTTAATCAATCTCAAACTGAGGGGAATACTAAACGTAAGGCCGATAGGCCTACTCGTGTACGAACAGTCTTAAACGAAAAGCAATTGCATACACTACGGACATGTTATAATGCGAATCCACGTCCCGACGCTATGATGAAGGAACAATTGGTCGAAATGACAGGACTTAGTCCTCGTGTTATACGGGTTTGGTTTCAAAATAAACGGTGCAAAGACAAGAAAAAAGCCACTTTTATACTCAAGTCTCAAAACCCGAATCAGCAGCAAAATTCAGATGAACTTCAGGTAACCGWGATAGTCGCGCGCTGTTTTCCTACCCTTTCCCCATCCAAAAACCCCAAACATTTCTAGTTGTTTATCAGTTTTCTGAAATCCAACTATAAGTCCTTGTAAGGCGATCACAATACGAACTTTGTTTATGCTTAGAAAGCCATTTTAGTGAWTCCCTAAGGAGCAGGGCCWTGTAAAGTTAATTTAACGCATTTAGAACTCGGGTGTTAATTTGGTTAGCTTTTTATTGAAGTTTATTCCCTACAAAGTTGACCGTCGAAGTATGTTTATCAAATCCCGAGGTCACTGAAGAGCATATTGTCTTTTATCGCGCTTTCCGGTCATGGACTTCGGGTTAATTTGACAAAGAAATATCATGTTGTGTGCATCGATATGCGACTGTTGTTTTGAGACGCTGTTCGTAGCTTCTCGCTGTGCCCTCAGTGGCACARCTCGTCAAATGCGCAAATTCTGGCGACCTCTTATAACAACCTCTTTTCCTATTAGTGCGTCGTGATTCTCAGACTCCTAAATCTCTGCCCCAAGTATTTTTTTTTTTTCAAACCTCAAAGTCGTTTCAAACCTCACTTCAWACTCTCTGTCTGTTTGCATTGTTGTACTGCGCGAACACGTTTCAAGGTCAACGTTGGGTGAGCTATGGAATGGGCATTGTGGATTTTTTGAATGATTTTGGTGTAGTGATCAATTGGGAGCTTTGTTCGTCTCTCTAGTTCCCTACTGTGTTTCTCAATAGTTCTATTATGGGTCCCTTTCCACCTCTAACCCGCCCGCTAATTTCTTAATCACAATATATTTATACTAAGAATCGGTGTTCTGTTTTCTTTCCAGAACCCGAACAGTATGTCACCTCCGCAGTCAATGGCAGGCGTCCCTTATGTACCCAATTCTGCATCATTGAGACCCGATGTTAATATGACAGATATATCGGGTTACCAGCCATGGAAAGCTTTGAACGAATTYGCTATGCACAACGATATTGACCAAGGAGCCTTTCAACAACTGGTAAGGAAAAAATTGATTTTTTCTTTTAACGAGAACAAAATTCAAATATATATTATATTATATTTTGCCTGTTCGCTACTCTCTATAATATATATGTGGGGGTGTGTGATGTGGGAATTTATGTCTTTTGTGAAATAAAATACCAGTACCTGCTCTGACACTTAAATGAYGATATTTCAAGAGTCCAAGATGTATATGACATGAAATAGTCATTTTTCAACCGTGATTACCTTAACTTCCAATCAACAGAATCCTATCAGTGATCTTTTTGGGTTGGAATTCATGCCAAATAAATAAATAAATGATTGCCCTCGGGCGTACTGTGGGTGTATTTAAATTCGAATCATGCTTCTTTTGAAAAATATTATACGTCTTACAAAACGTGTTTTTCATAAAAGCCTCGGAGAAGATTATTGGTCCGTTTTTGAAATCATTTTTTGTTGTTTTCGACCGAAAAAAATATAATTGTCATTGCTCTTTTTCTAAACACACAAACAAAAAAAGATATTTCTTCGTTTTTCGAAGTCTGGACAAAATGATCGTGACAATTGAAATAAGTTTATACTTTACTGTCAATCAACGAGACATATTGTCGATACAATGGGAGCAAATTGGCTCCTTTTCTTTGCCTGTTAAGACCCTTGTGTTCCTATCTGGATTTTATCATTYATTGGATTAGACACCAAGATATAGATAAATCCTAAACGATCGCGAAGTCATTTATGCCCACACGATGAAATGACCTTTTAGCAGCTTCTGTTAACCCTATAAAACAACCATCGAATTGCTTCACACCTTTCACACATTTAATCACTCTTGAATAACTAGTGAGTGTTTGGTCGCCATTTGCTATTACAGGTCGTCTTATTGTTTTATGGTTTCTCGATCGATTAGCAACGGGTAAACTTCCAAAGCGCGTCAACGCAAACTCAAACGTATTCTTATTCTTTAAGAGAAGTCCTTGCACGCGTGTCTAGCCTTGGTTCAGCGACATTTTGAGGGTTCGTACTTAGTTTTATTGTCAAAAGAGTCGTTGTTACCTYAGCTCATTGCCAAAGAGACCTTAAGAATTTCTTAGATCTCGAGCAAATATACTAAAGCTGAAACAAAAGATGTTCTGTCGAATCTTCTATACGTTGTTTGTTATGTGATGTTCTAACTAAGACCCCCTCTTTCATACTCGTTTGATTGTTAGCACAGCTAAATCAATTCTCAGCTTCTGTTCTTGTCCGAGGTCTGTTTGCTTTCCATTGTATAGCTTTGATTCCTTGTAAAACTTTGAGTATTTTATCTTGAATCGGGATTAATATCAATTTGAAATGACTACAGTATGTCGAGTGATGATGATCACARCGCCGAGAATAATTCGCCCTATGGTTCTGTAGTTTATTACATCTAACAACAGTTACTGTTTGGCCCTCGTTGACCTAGCATTTAACRGAATCAAGCCAATAACCGCTAGTGTAAGGATTACTTGTGAGTCTTTAGGTACGATCGTGAAAACTAAGAGAACAATCTCACCCAGCATGTGGTGTTATGCTAAAGAATACTTTCTCAAAACAATAGTCCCAAACTCTTTGAACGCTAGTTGGACTACGGGTATATATAGCATCTCATTAAGTACTTGTATGCTCTTTTACGTACATCTACAATATCGCTTTATCGCACATTGTTTTCAAAGCACCTCTTTTCCAAGGTTTTTTATCGCGTAGAGATTTACATGCGATTTTATGTATGTAGGGAACKTTTTTCGTGAATACATTAAAGGAGTATAGCAACGACTGCGTTGAACTTCATATTTCATAAAACGTTTCCTTCCGAAATCTCTCGGCAACATTTACGAATTTGTTTTTGATTYGATGTTTTTACTGTATTTTGGCTCAAATTGATATCCTGTTTCCAGAAGCCCAGTCTATATTTTGATTCCTAATATATGTTTGTTGTAAATGTGTCCCGCTGTCTAAGACTGAGTAATAGTCTTTGACTACCAGAGTTATTGTGTTTGCCTGTTGTTGTTATAGTGTCTGAAACTACCAAGAAAGCTCGTTTCAAGACTGTATCTTCTCTCTCCGCAGGTTCATTTTTCAGAACAAGCCCAGGGTAATYTACCACATCAACCAGAAGGAATTACATCGACTGTAGGGAATTAAGAAATGATGGCCATCACACACAGCACGAAATAGGTGCTTTTTAATTATTTTACGCACGCGAAGGAATACATCACAAGCCGTCTTCGTGCTRACCAAGGGTTTATTAAAGTGAAGACCATTTAAGAATAATACAACAAACGTGAAGAAATTGAATTTCTCAAGGATTTGTGACAATGCCGGACACTTCTTCATATGTCTTCAATAGAGACGTGTAATATTAGGATGAGATATTTTATTGTTTGAAAGCTGCCAACGCCGCAGTAGTTCAAGAAAATCTGTACTTAGCTTGTACATACTATACATATGACATATTATATATATATAATTATATATTATCTATTGCAATGCAATCTTGTGGTTGTAGCTAAATATATTAATATTCTTCCAATGRCTCGCTGTTTCTATTAAAGCTTCTCATTACACAGGAATTACACAGATTCTAATTTCCTCCAATGGTTGATTTATGTTTTTCTGTGATTTTGTATCCCTTGATTTTGGAATAATTCCCTTTTTGCCCTTGAGCAATCTAAACATCTTTAACTTTGTATTTTTTTTCCTTTGAAAAAGATTCATTATGGAATGGTTATTGCATTCGCTCAGGTCTTGCATAATGGAGGGCAGTGATTGAACATAGACAACAGCATTACCTCTGAAATTTCTTAATTTAATTACTAGTGAGATTTCGACTTATATTGGGTTTAATATTGTCCCCCTCGAGTTTTTTAGTAGTTCTGATGCCTTTGAATAAACAATATTTCCYCTGTCACTGGGTCACAATCTTTTCCTCGTTATTTTTGGCCTCTTGTCAAAATCCAAAGCAATCTCATTCTCGACAAGATAACGATAACACTACAGATAGAATTTAAGAAATTTCCTATTTATGTATTTCATGAGAGCAACACAGTTTATTGTTCATCTGACTCAGTTTCGATTAAGAAAAGTTAAGTTTTTACAGCCATCACATGTCCTTCTTGGCTACGACTTGGGCTTCTCCGACTCGTCGGTGCCTTTCGGACAATGGATGTCACCTGGTCCGTGTACGCTTCCTTAAAAGTGACAGCAACAACTCCGCCTTTCTTGCCTGAATACTGTCAGTCCAAGTTTTCGTTTCGTTYAAGATTCAGACGATAGTGATTATCAAGGAATTGCTGGACTCTGACAGCTCCTCGCGACGACGTGTATTCATTCGCCCAAGGGTTGTACTCTAGTCCATCAACAATATCGCTTCCGACCACACGYTCTTCAATGGTCGAGGCGGGATTTTCCTGTGATTATCGCTGATTATATCTGTAGGTTTTTCTATCCCATTCCTCGCCATCTTGTTGACACGTTACAAATTCTCACGAAAATGGCCGAAAGGAGTGGGATTTTTTTGTTGTTAGTTTCTTGTTGAATGTGTAAGATGCGCAGGTGTTGTGATGTCTTAGCGGCAAAAGCATTTTCTAAGTGTGGCATGCAAGAATCTGCCACTGGAAAGACGTGATTTGCAGACCTGTCGAGCCAAAATGAAAGCTTGTCAACTCGTTTTTGAAATGGAGCGTTCAGTGATGCCCTCGAATGTAAGATTTTTATTGACATCGRGTCTTGGTGCTGTTTTGATAAGTAATCGTGGCATGTCACACTACCTTCACTTTCGCCCAATACCATTTCAAATGGAGCTCTTGTTTTTTCCTTTAAGTGGCGTTTGCATGTAAGATTAATTTTTATGAACATAAGGCACTGAATTGCAAGGATAGAAGCAAGTTTTCTTCAAGGCCAACCGAGTTCACTGTCAATGAACTTGTTTTGTCTTGACAATCAATGTTTTGAAATGCGCATAGATATTGGCCCACCCAAGATATACATATGGCATGGTGTTGTCAAAGTGATATCGGCCTTCATGCCTACCGAGGCTATTGTACTTCTATATTCCCAAATATATATCTCATTAGTAAGATAATTCTCGTGTGCATGGAAGCTCAAATATAAACTTGTAAAAGGTATTTTAAAAGCACCTAGTCCAATGAAACTCAGTGTCGAAATGTACGTGTTCAACCAATTTCATTCATGACACCACAATGTGGACCTCAAGACTATTTTTGGAACTCCATCTGTTGTACAGTACATGTAAATGTTTGCAACGGTAGAATATTCCAAATTCGAGTAGCGTAGCTCAGTTTTTGCCTCCCATGTTAAAGCRATAAGGCAATGTCTTGTGTAATGGATGTTAGATAGGCCTTTGGGGTTAAAAACTCAATACGCCTTTAATTGGAAGAAATTGATCCACCTGAAAAAAGCAAATGGCTCAGCTAACCATTTTCTTCATTTGAATATTGTAATTTTATGCCATCAATGGCGCACTTGAGAAAGAATAGCATGGCTCGAKATTCGCCTCATTCAATTTCTTGACATGCTATGATTGCCTGGTTAGATATACACCAGATATTTTTATGTTACMCCTTTTCATCGAAATTTGCATCCATGGAATAGTATAGTTTTATTGAGGTTACAATTTACCTTAGTTTGCGCATTCAATGCATTGTTACTCGACCTTTTTTAAAAATTCTCCATTCCTTGCATTCCATGTTTACAAACTTTTGGGAAGGGTCGCTATAAATTCCTAAGCGATATCTCATTGTACATTTTCCATTAAATTCCCGTTGTCAATAATGTATTTTTCTTTATTATTTCCTTCAGGAAAAATATATATATAGTACAACATTTGAAAAGTGTGGGAGTGTATTGATTTTGTCTCGGACAGTTGACGAAATTTTAACAAGAAAACTCGTGTTGARAGGAACAATTATCATTTTGCTGACTAGTCGGAAAATTTCCGCAGAGCTTATTATCGCTCAATTGGTTTTCCATGGGATCTTCCTTATTGATTTAAGCCCGGTTCTAAAAGGCTTTCAAGACCTCTTTGATGTATAAGGCCATCTTATCCCGTGACATCCATGAAGGATTCTGTCGCTTTTGAAGTCTTCCTCTGTAAGCATTGAAGATAAATAATGAAAGAAATTGATTCCATGTTTGTTCCGACAGTGTCTGGGTCGTGTTTGCATGTCCCTTGGACGCCGTTGCTGCCAGAAAGCAAGCAAAACATTGCACGCTCCGAGCTATTTTCGATCGTTTATATTTGCCTTTCGCAAGTGTCCCTTTTTTTTCTGACGTTCTTTGAGTAGACGACGTCTCACGTGATGGTGTTTCTTTTGTGAAGGAAATTGCTGTGATTGCTAGCTGTATTTTGGCAATAAACATACTCGCATTTAGAAAATTGTTGCATGATTTTTCATGATGATCAGCTTTTTTGCCTTTTTTTAGGAGTCGAAAAAATTAACGCCTAAATGTTTATTATGAAAAATATATTTCAATTTAATCTCCATTCTACAATAAAAAAAATAGATACATATATCTTTAATATTTTTTAAYTCTTCCACGATGAGTGAAGTACTATAGGATAGTCAGGAGGTGACTTAACTGCAACCAGAACTGTACCTTTATACGTGTATAGATACGTAGCTGTTTCAAAAACTGTTCAAAAGCTACAATTTCCAGTGAAGAAAACAGAGATGGCTTGAGTCGAAAACATGTTCTAACACTTTCYCATCAGTTCTAAATGTTTTTGTGGGACCTAAAAGCAAAAACAGATGATACTTCTAGGCYTAGTCATACAAAACTACGAGGGGATTGTAGTACAGGTGACCTGTTTATTTTGTATGAGATTGTAGCTTCAGGCGTTCCACTACTCAAGTAAGTCATTCTTAGATACGTTGTAGAGAAACTTAAAAGCAGTGTAATCGGAACGATTTGATTTGATTTGTGTCCRACAATGCCGACCATCACTTGTTCATTATATGATATACTTGTATTAAGAACATTATTTTTGATGCACATTAAAACTTAAAAGTTTGTATCATGGCAACTATTATGAAGAGCATCATCAGTCATCGCCATGTACCTATCTAACATAATCAAAATCTCTTGCTTCCTAGTATACTATATGAATCCGTGATATGCACTATATGGAAGTTTTAATTTTCGTTCTTGGTTCTTCTAAATAAATGACTACAGCTAACACCAACCTCTGATAAAATCCACTGTAAGCACTGGAAAGGATGAGCATATAATTACGATAAGACAGGGATGAAGAAGAGAGGAGATTGCGGTGAAATACCACGACCAACCTTTCATACATTTGAGTTTGTTTTCWGAGGAGAGTCAGTTTTGGGTTTTGGTCAAGCATGACTCCACAGTAGGGCACTATCTTTGATATTATCGATTAATYCATAATTATTCTTCGACCAAGAGTAGACAATAATTAAAGAATTTGTCACATATAACATAGTCAAAGCTCTATGATACTTAAAGTACACGAGGAAATTTGTATATACAACCAGAATATATGATTAATTTATTTGCGTCARTCTTGTACGACATTTGATTACTGTACTTTCTCATTACCTTTTCGGTCTCAACCTCTATTTTCTGTGGTTTTTGAAAGATACAATGAATCATCTGTACCARCTATTCGTATTATTTAATCRCACAAACAGCCCTAAACCACACCCGATTGTTTTGACTAGGATACTGAAAACCTGATAGCCAATTTATAAGAATGCATGTGGATACTGCATAAATAAGATAATGTCGTAAACATATAATTCTAAAGCGTCTTTGATATTTCTTGCCTGTACGACTAGTGACTGTCCTACTAAAGGCACATTTTTACACTTGCGATTTTTGCAGCGTGATGATCGCTACTTTGCTATCGCGCAACTCAAATCGTACGTGTGAACATTTGCAGCCAATTTACAAACGTGATCGAAATTCAGGCGATGGGCGCGCGAGAATCGCTCAGCAATGCAAAATCGCAAGTGTAAACAGGGCTTAATTGACCATCGGGAGATTCATGGACACTTCTTCGACAATTTGACGTTACCGTTTTATACGACGACAACAACAACAACAATAACAATAATAATAACTTTAATATCCTTTCCAATATGTCACTAAATAACAGCTTTTCTCCATTACGTTTGTTTTTAACTGAGCCGACGTAAAAACAGCCAATTTTCCATGGTAAAAAATGACAGGAGCGAGGGAGAGAATATTGACTTCATTTACATTACAATTCAAATGGACTCATACGGGGTCGAACTAGTAATTAGAACAATGAATAGTGCGGTGTTTTGGCCGTTATARCAATTGGCAGTGCTTCCTTTATTCGGCAACATCATAGTGCATTACTKATTAACTTTTTTGGTGAGAGGGTAAATAACCAGTTTATTTGCTCAATTTATTAAAGGAAAACAGCCGCAAAAGGATCCCRTCAATTTTAGAGGAGCATTCGTTTGARTTCTGTTGTTCTGTTAAGTTTGTTTATTTATGTTTTTCCTTCTGTCTCCTTGTTT